AAAGTTAAAAAATACCATATTAAAATTGACTACGTCAAGCGAAATTTTTTTTTTGGCAATTTTTTACATTGACAGTAAGTATCTGCGGGACTACAATGTACTCCTCACATTGCTTACCTGATAGAGATTGTTTTCTCAAACTAGTTGAAAAATCAAAAAAAACCTGGACGATGGTTGATATTATTAGCTGACATTCAATTGCTGTACTAATCGGCTATGTATGAGTCACGAGTGTATGTTTTACAATCGAACAATATACGTAGAATAGGAAGTATAATGCATCAATTTAACCATAAAAAGTGAACAGAATTACTTACATTGTTGCTGAAAAAGTGGAATATATGTTTTCTTTTGAGTTAGGTGACGACTATTTACGGTGACGTGATCTCTTTAATATGTATATCTAAATTATAGGCCGGCGTCTGCGTGTACATCTATATACTGACACATACTTTTGCTCAAGAGCGTATACTTAATACGCTCCTGATTTGCTGTATGCACTTATTTACTCTTGACGTACGACTGCATCCTTTATTCCTGCTCTCTCGTGCTCATCACAGCAATTGAAGGATGAGATTGCAGAGGTCACCGAGGAGATGGAGAGGGTGGACGTCGCCGTCACGGATAAGGAGAATCCGAAGGCTAAGCAGCAGCACATCGGTCGCAAGAAGTTCAACATGGACCCCAAGAAGGTGAGGGGCGCGGGAGAGTAGTCAATAGAGGATTGAATGAAGATTCGATGAAAGACCCGCCAATGAACATAAATATAACATTTTGGCAGGCAGCTTATTTATAACCACCATCCCCGCGCGCACAAACACACGCACACACGTGCGCACGAACGCACGCAAACACGCACACACATGTGACACGATAATTTACGTAATCACATTAATCATCTTTCTCCGTTGAATCATGCACAGGATTGATCAGGGTTTGATAACTCACGTGAACAAGTTTAATAATTTTAATTTGATTCAGCCACAACATTAATAACCAATTTATAACCAATGTAATTATTAGAAAGTGAGATCGGGGTTGCGTGGGTAATGCTGGGAAGGGCGAGGTTGGATATAGGACGGGACTAAGCATTAAAGCGCACAAAGTTATAGTGTAGCGTGGTCCATGTATGTATATGCACATATCAATATATCAATGCCTATCTATCTATCTATTTATCTATCTAACTAACTATCTATCTATCTATCTATCTATCTAAATATCTATCTATCAATCAATCAATTAATCAATCAATCAATCTATCTACCTATCTATATCAATCTATCTATTTATCTATTTATCTCTGTATCTAT